TAGACTCAAAACCATAGAAGCACATTTTTCACAGAAATAATATTTAAGGTAGTTTTTTATGCCAGAGCGTTCACAAAGTATATTAATTAACAATAATTGAGTTATATGGTAAAAAAAAAAAAAAATGTTTGAGCTTAACCGTGTTTACTAAATGTCCTGTGCTCTGTGAGTTTTGATCACTGTTTACATGTAACTGAAAACCTAAAATAATGGTGTTCCTGTAAAGTGATCATCAAAAGGCTTAGCTGATTTAACTGCTTGATTCATATGGAGTCACTTTATGATGCCTTTATAACCATTTTGAATCTTCTAGGTTTCGGTTACCTGGATTTTCAATGGAAGGACAGAAACCTTTTCAGGGTCCATTAAAAATGATCTTCATTTGTGTTTCGAAAATTAACCAAAACCCTATGGGTTTGGAATGACATGAGGGTGAGTAAATGACATTTTTCATTTTTAGATTAACAATCCCAGCATGAATCATGGCATGAATAAATCATATGAACTACTGTTTTAATGTTTTCTGGGTTATTAAGTGGTGTTATTGTATTTGTCATGTGGTATTCACTGCATATATGCTTCTTAAATATGTGGCTTTTTTTGCCACTGTCCATTTTTCGCATTTTACACATCCATTTTTGAAAAAAAAAAAAAAAAAAAAAAATTTAAATATATACACACAAAACAGAAATATATGAGAATATGCTTGTGGAATGTTATTTTGCATGCAACTAGAGGTTTCCTTCTTTCTTAGTTTCTTTACATTATTTGTATATTTCGGCAGCTCTGACTGGGTGGACCCTGAGCCAAAGAAATACTGTAATAAATCATGACAGGTAAAGTACTTTTTAAAAGCTCTTGTAACCCAGTTTCATGTACCCCTCACTAAAATGTGTTGTAATGCCAAACTTTGTGTTGCCATGAAGAGATAATTACAGCTAAGAAACAGAGAGTAATAATTAATTAAACCTCCACTAATGGCGAAATGCTAAATTATTAAAAGATTTGTGACTATACACACATCTTGGGAATAAATCAGCAGACTGAGAATTCAACGGCCTATGGACTTATAAAAACATGAAGTGCACACGATCAAACTGATGCAACTTGGTTAAATATTCATAATATTTAATGAAACTTTACTATGTAACTGGTGAGAGAGTGCATCACTTAAGATATATGAATATATTAAAGAATATATTAAAGAACTATTTTAAAAGAAAAGATATTAAAGGATTAAAAAGTTTGGGGTCAGTAAGATTTTTTTTATGTTTTAGGAAGAAGTTTCTCATGCTCACCAAGCCTGCATTTATTTTATCAAAAATATAGTAAAAACAGTAATATTGTGAAATATTATTACAATTTTAAATAACTTGTCTATTTTAATATATTTTGAATGTTAAAGCTATATCAGCATTTCAGTATTACTCCAGTTTTCAGTGTCACATGATCCTTTAGAAATCATTCTAATATGCTGATTTGGTGCTTAAGAAACATTTTTGATTATTATCAATGTTAAAATAAGTTGATTCATATTTTTGTGGAAATCTTTTTTTTTTTTTCAGAATGTTTTGCTGAATAGAAAGTTCAAAAGATTAGCATTTATTGAAACAGGAATATTTTGGAACATTATAAATCTCTTTACTGTCACTTTTTAACAATTTAATGCACCCTTACTGAATAAAATATTAATTTCTTTTAAAATCAAATCAAAATAAAAATAAAACCCCAAACATATACATATATATTTATAACTTATACACACACACACACACACACACACACACAGTAAAAAGCAACAAAAAATGCACTTAAAACTATTATTTATATGATTAAACCACAATATTGGATATTAATGTTTAGTTAGATGGGAGTTCAGGGAGTGCAGGAATGTGTGTGCGGGCATGTTTGGTCAAACCCTAGCTGACTTATAGACGTCACGTCTGATATTTAGCACTCAAAGTCCGTCATGTCTGCATACATGATCTCTTTATCCACCTCAAACGGGCACTAATTGCCAGCAACTAATCACATCACTGTCCTATTATGCCTAGTTCTGCATCATCCCTCTCATCTGCAAAATTACCCAGGATAATTAGAGTACATTATTAACGAGCTAGTTGCAGACTCAACTACGCTATTTGGTGACCTCAGACACTTAAAGTCTGACCATTAGACATTCTATCTCTAATGGTTTGAGTAAATAAATGCATCCAATAAATCTACGGCACATCGCTTTCTACTAAACTCCTGGGTGGAACACTGAGGAGTTTAAATGTGCTTCATTAGCGATCAAAAGTTTTAGAGTTTGACCAGCGCTGAAAAGAAGTTTCACTCTAAAGATGGGTTTTTAAAGTAGCTTGGGCTTTTAAACCATCTAGTTTAGTTGACTGTTGGGAACAGTGGAGCTCACATGGGCTCCCAAAAGGCAATAAACGTTCACACTTTTTTTTAATAGACAAAGGTGTCACATGACTCAGAAACTGACTGCGTATTTGTCTAACCTGTTCAGGGCCCATGTTGGCCATGCTGCCCCCAGGTCCAGAGTTCATAGAGCTCAAGCTCATCTGGTTGCCCATTTGGCCCATGTTACTTGAGTTGGTGGCCATGGACACGTTGAGGTTCATGCCGTTACCATTGTACATGTTGTTACCGGCCTGCTGGGCAAACTGAGGTGGCGACTGCTGAGTGAACATACTGTGGAGGGAAGCAGATAAATGTATAAGACCATTCAGGTTTCGTTTAGCTTCCTGAATTGAAAACTTTAACCATATTTCATGTCTGATAAAATTTCACACACACACTACTGTTCAAAAGTTTGGGGTTGGTGAGATTTTTAATTAAGTCTCTGATGTTCACCAAGGCTGCATTTATTTAATTAAAAATGAAAAGTAATATTGTGAAAAAAATAGTAACATTTTTAAATAATTGTTTTTTTGTCTGAATATATTTTAAAACATAATTCCTGTGGTGGCAAAGCTGAATTTTTAGCAGCCATTACTCGAGTCTTCAGTGTCACATGATCCTTCAGAGATCATTCTAATATGCTGATTTAATGCTCAAGAAACATTTATTATTATTATAATATAGAAAAATATTACAGAATAATATTATATATATTATTACCTTCTTATTAATATGTTGAAAATAGTTGTGTTCCTTAATATTTTTGTGGAAATCATGATACATTTTTTGGGGATTCTCTGATGAATAGAACGTTCAAGAACAGCATTTATTCAAAACTAATATTTTGTAACAGTATAAATATAATCATTGTCACTTTCGATCAATTTAACATCCTTGCTGAATTAAAGAATTAATTTCTTAAAAAAAAAAAAAAAAGTTTTGCTGAGCCCAAACTTTTGAATGGCTGTGTGTGTGTGTGTGTGTGTGTGTGTGTGAATATACACACACACACACACACACACACACACACACACACACACACACACACACACACACACAC